CTTCCATAACTTTGATCATTATCTCCTTTAAAAAATTTAGTAAATGTACAGTGGTATTTTATTGCTATATGTTTCTGTTTCTAACTTTCTCTTATTGCAGACCATTCATCAAGGATTTTGTACCCAAGACCCAAAAGCTTGTTACCCGAGATGATGAATGCCGACATGGATGGTATGTGCTTTATTTTCCTTTTTGTGAGTTCCTGGTTTTGTGGATGCTTTTGGCTTAATTAAGCAATGGAAAGAACAGAGAAGCAATATTTAGAGGCTTGGATTTGGCTAATTTACTTATATCCTTTCTAGTTGTAGAAAGGATTGATAATGGCAAAACAATTTATCTTCACCTTGGTGTCCTTATCTGCCATGTGGGCATCTAACTGTTTCCTTTACAGGGCTCTTGTTTAAGTCAAGTAAGATAATGAATATAAAAAATTTTGCATATCTTTAAGTGCTACACTACACAAATGGTACCTAATGTTAATTAATAGTAAATCTGAACCTTTGTATTACAGCAGTGGATGCTGAAAATCAGGTGGAACTGGAGGAAAAAACACGACTTATTAATCAAGTGTTGGAACTTCAACACACACTTGAAGGTTAGCTTCCATTTTGTAGTTTTCTTGGATAATATCTAATTAGTTGAAATTGTAAGCATTTGTTTTGCTAAATTTTGTTAGCGTGTCCCCAGTTTTTAAAAGTATAAACTTCAAAGTCCATTTCAATAGTTTCTTTTCCCTCCTGCCTGCAGCTTTGGCTAGTGATTTTAAAGAACAGATGTGCTTCAATAAGAAAGTCAAATAGTGTTCCTGTGCATCCCTCTGGGGTTAATGTAATGCTGTTTATTACATGAGAGCCCCTTAAGCCCCTGCCTTGTGTTATTACTAAGTCCACTTTAATAAAGCTTATACTAAAGTTTTTACTTTAAAAGTGTTTTAGCTTCAGAGATTAAAAGTGGGTTGATCTGAGTTTTTTCATTTTCTGAATGTCTTACATAAAATTAATACTACCACTGCAACATCTTGGTTTTTAATGAAATTAAGAGGTTGTGGGTGTTTTGTTTTGTTTTAATAGCAGGGTGAGCAGATCATGTCATTTCACTGGCTTCCCATTTCACAGTTAATAAAAGCCAGGTTACTCTCTGGAAATCTGTTACCTCCTTTTACCTTTCAGAGTCAGTCATGTCACACTCTCTGCCTCATTCATTCTACCTCAGACACTGACCTCCTTGCTGTTCTTTCAGCAAACTTCTACTGAGGGTCTTAGTGGTTGCTGTTCTCTGCTTGAATCTCTTTCCCTTAGGTGTTCGCATTCTATATGGCTCATTCCCTCATTTCTTTTAGGTCTCTGGTCAAATTCCCTTTATCAAAATATCGCTGACTATATGAATATAAAAAGGCAGCTTCCCTTTTGCTTCCTGGGACTCTTACCCTTCTTTTTTCTCCTGACCCCTACTTGGTTGGAGCCCCCCAAATGCACATGTGCCCACATGCACATTAGAATGTAAGCTCTGTGAGGGCAAGGGCTTTTGTTACAGTTGCCTCTAGAACAGTGCCTGGCTCTTAAAGGGCACCCAATACTTAGTTGTTAAATGAATGAATGGAGAGAATGTTTTATTTGATCATTAAGAACTATGTCTTTTGAATTTCTTGCAAATGTAAAAATACAAAATGCTCAATTGCTTGGAAACTGACTTTCCATATCCAGTGTATAAATTGAGTTGTATTTGCCTGCCACATTTTCTTAAGCATTTCTAACAAAGATGTTACAGTTTTTTTTATGTTGGTAAGACATGAATCAAAATTCACATTTTAAAAACCAAGTCCGTATCTTATGGAAATAACCATTTTAAGAAATAACTACTCAACATAGATGCTATTTACCAACATTTAGTCTAATGTGAAATCTCTTAAGAATTTTGGCTATTAACTTGCACTCAGTTTACTTTGTTTACCTTAATTTCTAAAGTTACCTGAATTTAAAAGCAGAAAATTTAAAGATTGTGTTCTCTCTCTTAAGAATGAATTTTAAATCTTTTATAATATGGAGTCATTGCCATCATTTTATTGATACTGGACTTTTTTATTCTTAAATACAGACCTCTCCGCAAGAGTAGATGCAGTTAAGGAAGAAAATCTGAAGCTAAAATCAGAAAACCAAGTTCTTGGACAATATATAGAAAACCTCATGTCAGCTTCTAGTGTTTTTCAAACAACTGACACAAAAAGCAAAAGAAAGTAAGGGATTGACATCCCTTCTGTTTTATGGAATTGCTGCTGATCTTTTTTTCTTTAAAACCTGGATAGATTTAAAAAGTTATAGTACTTTTGTTTGTGGCTTAATTGAATATTTATGAAGATAATGTCAGATCTAGGCAAAATTAAGAGCATAACGGAAGACTTCATGAGTTTGTGTATAATATGTTAGTCTATGAAAACATGCAAATGTAGAGACTTTATAATTAGAAATGCATATATTTATGAAACTTGAAAATGAATGTTTTATCAAATTTGCTTTGATTTATAAGTTTAGCACTGTCTTTTATTATAGGCATAGTAAGAGATACAAGAAAATAACCACCGTGTTGTGAAAAGTGACCAAAATCATGTACTGAACGCACAGCTTTATGTACCCTGTCCACCATGTTGTGCCTCTTCTCCATTTGCTTCTTCCTTTCCATTTCCCTTCCCCTAAGGAAAAAATTGGTTTTACATTTGTAAAAGTAATTTTAATAGTTAATCATCTGTGAGAGTAACCTGAGCTTGAATTGTTGAAACTTACTAAAATAAGATACTTTCTCAGTTAGGGCTTCTCATAGTTAATAATAAGATAGGATTGTTGGTTTCTCTTTAATCAGTTGAAAACAGAGGCTATAAATATGAAGACTTTTCTTTGCAACGGAATTGTCAAATTGGGAAGGTTTGGTTGTTAAAACCTTCCTTTTGCACAAAACGTGGAGAAAGATTAGTATCTGGAAAGATGAGCTCTGGTTATACATTTGGAATAGAAAATTTTGAGAAAAACATTAATAGGATGGGAAAGGTACCTGGCAAACAGTAGTAATCAACTCCAAATTGTTTTTACTCCAGATTTGTGTGATCTCTGACACAGACTAGATATATGTATATATATATATCTCCGAGAAAGTAGATTAAATGTGACTAACCTTATGTCAATCACATCTGGAAGAGAACAGTTACAAAGAGTTTAGTCTTAACCTTTATTTGTAGTACCCAGCAGATCTTTTGCAAAGTCCCTTTAGGGTGTATTAGTATCGGAATCATGAATAATAAAATGAGGGAGTTTTACATGTATACTAGAGAATTTTCTGTAAACCTAACTACTTGGTTTGCAGAGTTTTAGTCACTCTTTTACGGTTTCTAAAAATTTAGTTTGTAGATTCCATCTGGTAAGAAAATTAGTATCAGAAGTAGTGTTAAAATGTTAAATAGGAAAAGAGATCCACTAATACAGTTTTGGTTGTTAGATTTGGGCTTTTAATCCTGGAATAATCTTATGTTTGTATTGGTGTACGATTCAATGAATGACTTTAGCTGTATGAATATAATAGTTATACTGCAAATATTTTGCATCCCTTTTGTGACCTAATTTACAAACATTTAAAATTGTGTTGCAATTTTGCTTTGCTGTTTAATAAAAAGCTGTTTCAGAGATTGTGTGTGTGTTAATATAGTAACTGTGGTGTGTATAATGGTGTAGTGGTATATCCAGGGTTGTTCAAAGCCACAGGGTTAAGTAGCGTATCTTATTTAAGTACTAGTTACTGTATGTGTAGGGGAATATTTTTATTAAAACAAACGTCACAGGATATTATACATTAAGTTTTTGAAATAAAACAAAGAATTCGGAGACAGACCCAGGATTGCCAGGGGAAAGGTGGTTATAATTTTTAGGTTAGGCTAAGCTCCTGTAACAAGAGATATGCTAATAAAATAATATAGAAGTTTCTCTCCCAACTAATGGTCTTGATGTTAAACACTGCAAGCTAGCAGGCTTTGTTCCACATAATGATTCAGGGACTTGAGTTGAGGATAGCTCTGCCATTTTTGACCATGGCTTCTAAATCACTCTAACTAATCACTATTCTAATTTACAGAGAAACTACATGGGACACGTACGCAAAGTTTAAAGGGTTAGGCCTGCCTGGAAACGGCACATATGTTTTCTTACATTCCAATGGTGAGGAGACTTAGTTATATCTAGATTGCAGGAGCTGAGAAATGTAGTCTTTGGCTAGAAGCCATATTCCAGCTATAACTTTATTACCGTAAAAGCACATGGAGGATTCTGGTAGCAACTAGCAGCCACAGCATTCTTCTCTTGCTATTAAGTCTCTGTGCACAACCTTCTTCCCATGCATAGAACATACTCAACCCCTCCTCACCAGTTACTGATTCAACTCAAAATCCAGGATCTTCATCAAGGTCCATCAGTTGTAGATGTGGCTTCTAATAGTCTGACAACGTCTAAACTGATGGGAAAATTATTTCCTCTCACCCTTAAGTCTGCCCATTTATAATGGTGTAGTGAGGACAGGAAACCCAAATAAAACCTCTCAACTTGGAAAATGGAATAAAGGGAAACATGTATTGATTCAAAGCGACTGTGGGGATATTCCTGGGAAACCCTAAGAAGAGTGTGTCCCTGATGATAAAGAAGTTCCTTGGGACACCTGGGTGGCTCAGTTGGTTAAGTGTCTTCTGCTCAGGTTGTGATCTTAGGGTCCTGGGATCGAGTCCCGCAAGGGGCTCCTTGCTCAGCGGGGAGCCTGCTTCTCCCTCTCCCCATGCCTGCCGCTCCCCCTGCTTGTGCTGTTTCTGACCAAAAAAAAAAAAAAAAAAAGCTCCTTGATCAGACCCTGATTCTGCTCTCTGGCAAGAGACTCCCTTGTTCATTACCCTCAATGGCTTCCACTCCGGAAAGTTATTCTTAACCACTTCTCTCCATGGCTCTGTCTGAAGTAGAGGCTGGGAATTTGCCCTTTATGGGAGTTGTGAAAATAGTAGTGCGCTTATTGCTGGCATGAGCTTGGTGCCCATTGTTTTAAGGCCAAGCTCACATTTCTTTGGAAGTAAAGTTCCCTCAAAAATTCTTGTTTCTAGTTCCACCTGTTAGGAATCACAATCAAGCACTTCTCTAGACCAAATTCTCAAAGTATGCTTTCATCATCACAGGACCCTGCCTCTTTAGTGGAGGCTACCTTGAGACCAACTGAAAAGAAGACTGCACTGGGAATGCTAACACCCAGATTACCACTGCAGGGATGGATCCCTTTGTTTGGCTTACCATGTGACAGAGAGGTCTTGCTGGGCTTCCCCCTCAGCCTCCCACAGCTCAAAAAGAAAACAGACCTTTTTTTGGTATAGAAGGGTACAGAAGCACTTGGCCTTTCTAATCCTTTGAGGTTCCTAATATCTGATGTTTCTCTATTCCATCTCCACTTGGGAGACTGGTCAATTCTTTCTTGTGATGCCTTGCTAAAAACATCAAGGACCAGGTAATTCATTTCACATTCTGACTTTTCCAGCTGCTACCCATGGAGCTATCAGCTCAGTAGGTGACAAAATGTTACCTGAAATGCAAGTCCCAGCTGTTTGTCATGTGAATTAGGTAAGCCAATGCTAAACATTGTTTTCCTTATGACAGAATCTCACTTCAGGCTATCAATTTCTACATTAGAAATATAGATGGTAAACAGTGTGCACAGGGACTGTGTCTAGCTTCTGACATAGACTCTCTCCGTGACCAAACTTTAACCAGCCTCTTCTGAGCCTTCTTTTCGACTAGACCTCAGAGGCCCTTCTCTGGCCTGACTGCCAGTTTTCCAAAGAATCCTGCTAAGTCGGTTTAGAAGGAATTCCCTCACTCTCAGCATCTGATCACCCTGGTTTTCCAGGGTTAAATCAGTTTAGCAAGCATTCCCCTACCCTTGATGTCTCCTTAGTAATTTTCCCTCTCCCCCGATTTTGCTCACTGACTTTAAATCCCAGCTGTCTTTGCTGTATTTGGAGTTGAGCGAAGTATCTCTCCTCCACTGTGACAGTCTTTGGCACCTATTGTAGTAGCTAGAATAAGGTCTTCCTCACTGTTTTAACAAGTGTCAGAATAATTTTTTCTTTAATACTTCTAGTCTAAATGCTGGTGGAATGATTGGCAGGAAAATCAGCACACCTCTTTCCTCAACCACCTCTCCCCCAGTAGGACCTCCCTCAATACTGATAATAGCATTCCATTCAGAATTTGTCCTCTTTATATTCCCTTTGGACTTTATTTATAGCCGATTAACTATATAGATCACAATCCCTTATGTGGAATTCTGGGGACCAGATGTTTCAGAATTTGGAATTTTTCAGATTACATAAAGAATTATGAATATGGTTTGGGACAGCACCTGTAATCAAATACATTAAGATTTTTGTAACAAATATATGAATTTAATACTAAGTATGATAAAGGCCTGTCGGGGAGGTCAGGTTTGGCTGCTAAATGAATTTTTGTGTCAAACATGAAAACACTTTAGCTTTTCACAGATTTTTTGTTCTTTGCAACAAAAATTTTTGCAGAAAAGTTACCAAAATCATCTAAGCATAGAACCCCCACTAGTTTATAATGTCACATTTTTTTTTTTTTTTAATAATGTCACATTTCTATTCCTGTCCATTACTCTTCCCCTTTGATCGTGTCCTTCTTCCAAAAGAAAAATGAGAGGTGAATTATAGAATCCAAAATTAAGTTTGTGGTCCAAAGCAAAGCAAAACTATCTTAATTCTGAAGAAAGTAAAACCTTTCTTCACTTTCCCTGGTCAGTTTTTCCCTCTGGAGTTAACACCCTCTAGTGGTTTTCAGGCAGATATTTCTTCATTCCTGAAACAATCAAAATTACCAGCGAAGACCAAGAGATTACTTTAGTTAAGACCGTTTGCAAATCATGAAGGAACAGAAAATGTGATCACATTCAAGTTTGTTTAAGAATTGGTAGAGAGAGTGACTTAACAGCCTTTTAGCTACTCTGGCTGAAAAACAAAACTGTAGTTTATTTCTCTTAAATCATAGAGACTTCATGGCATTTAAACACAAATTTACCATAACAAGAACTTTAGGTTGGCCTTAGGATTGAATTTACCTTATAATGGAGGTGGATGGGGAGGAGTGATGACAGAAGCTAAAGTATTACATCAAATCACTTGTATAATGTATTTACTGTATTTTAGATTTTATGTATTATTTATAGATGGCTTACCAAATGTTTAAGTTATCAAAACTTGAGGATATTCCCAAATTTTACAAAGAACATAAAAGTGTATTCACTGAACAAAAACCAACTATGTGGTAAGATACTATGCTAGGTGTTAAAAGATCCAATCATCCTATTGCCTACCTTCCCTAAAACTACCATTGCTCCTCCATGCATTTGCATTTCCAGAGACAAACTCCAAATGCATTCTCAAATACATTTTCTCTCTCATCAGCCTACGTCACCTGACATGTCAGATTAAGGATTTTCTTTTCAAAATTCCTCACAGCTGTCATACTATGAGAATGCATGGGAGCTAAAATTTGGGATGAGATTATTAAAATTTATGTAGAAATGCTATTATTCATTTACATAAGAGACTGAAGTAGTTATCTGATATGAGCCATGTGATAGTTCATCCCTAAATCCTGCTAAAGTCAAAACATAGTCACAATACTATAAAAAACCATTTCTGGATTACTGTTCTAAATTTCTAAGATACATTAAATTCACTGCTAGTGGTTAATTGTAACATAGAGGCAGTTCCATCCTGTGTCTCTTGCAAATGTGGCCTGACACTTCAAAAAGGCTGCTGATCCTAGTAATATGTGTCTTCCTAGAGAAGCGATGAATGGAAGCGAGGCTATCTTAAAAAGATACTGAAGAAAAAGGAAGCTCATTAGCCTGGTCAAGTTGAAAAGCCTTCTAAAAAGGCCAGCTAAAATAAAAGCAAAATACACTTCTTTTTCTCCTTTATTAGAGAAAAGGATAAAATTTAAGTCATTTTAAACAAAGTCAGAATAGGGTGGTAAAAGGAAAAAGCCATCTTGTTATCAAGGAAGACTCTATGCTTTATCGACTGCATGGATCTAGCACACATATTTACATAAAAGTTTAAGTTTTGGTTAAACCTATCAGCCGTAATACACCCACAGCGGGTATCCCCACAGGAAGGAGCAGGGAGCTGGCAAAACGGGTTGCCCAGATTCTACCACTGCAAGCTCATGGAGTTTAACCAAACACTCACTCTAAAATGAATCTGCAACCAAGAAAGTAAAAAAAGCTTTAATAAATCTTTAGGAAAAAATGTTCACATACAAGACACTTGTCAGGCAAGAAGGTTTCCATAAAATTAAGGATTTCTCTCCTGAAGTAGTTTACTTTCAGAAACATTCTCCTCTAGAATCACTCAGTATGTCTAGTTCATTGGGAATGTTCCAAATACAAAGCAAGAAAGGGAGTCCTTGCAAGATGTGTCAAGTTTGGTTAGTATTAAATAAACACAAACTATGGTTAACTGTTAAGATTTTCCACCACCAGTTTATGAAAGTCAGTACACGGCAATGAGAATAAAGCACTTATTTTCAATTCACTCTCTGAGATAAGGAGTGAATAGTATTACTGGCTTATTTGTCTTAACTTTAGTAAGAAGAGAAGTGAGAGTCTCATTTTCCTTATACGTGCGCTCTGTCTGACTGGGGAGCGGGCCATGTGGGAACTGAGTCGGAGCTTGCCAAGGGTTGGGTTGTATATGTACATGAAGAAATCCAAAATATTACCCAACTAGTGTAAAGTTCCCTCGATAGTTAGTATTAAAGTAGTTCCATGGTCTCAAAGATTCGGATCCCCTTGCGAAGGGCCTAACCTGTTAGTTACCCAAACATAAAAAGTTCTTAAAATATTTTAAATGGAATGACACAGCTCCACTCTAATGTAGTTCTGTGATTTCTGGTAACTACTTTAAAAAGAGGAGCAATATCTACTATCTACCTTAGAGGCAGCTTTGAAGCTAGATAACAGCCTTAAAATAGATTTGAATTTGTCAGGAAAAAAGCAAGATAAAAATACAAAGCAGGATGACTGATATCTATTCGCTATTAGAATCTCTTAATGACCAGAAAAAAGAAAATAATTTAAAGCTCCCTCCTCAATAATTTACCTTTTAAAGAGGGTGTAGTTTAAAGAAGGAAAAATGTTTAAATTTTATTTTCAAGAGCAATGTATGCATAAGCAATCTTCTGAGTAGGGTAAGCCGTTCTGGCATAAAACAATTATAAAGGCTTAAAAAGTATCTGTACACCATTATATTTTGATGAACCTATTATCTTTGCATTCAAATGTAAAATATGCTGCACTATTAACCAGTGATTCTATGAATGACTGGTTACCTAAGACTTTTCTGTTTTGTTGACCTGTCAACAAAGCACCTCTTCAAAGGAATCTATAATTTAAGTGAACAACAGACCCTAACTGTAATTTGACACAACCAGGCAAATGGGGGCCACATACAACACTTTCAACTGTGGACAGAATCAAACAACCATACAGCAACTTTATTGTGTTTAGCTCTGAACAACAGAACACACTCTCATTTTTATTACAGAACTACCGTTACAGCGTCATATTAGCCATTTAAGAGGAATTTCTAGTAACTGATTTTCCAACAGCAGGAAAGCTGCTGCATATTATTTTGCTCTGTACAAACCAAAACTTTCTCCAACTTTTAAAACTTGGTAACTTCTAATGATAGTAATCTCTTAAATCGGATAAGTAACGTGCCACTCCTTTATTCTAAATTTAAAGACCAGGTAACTTCAAAGTTTTTTTTTTTTTTTTTTTCCTGAAAAGAAAGACTAAAATAAATGTCTGAAAGAATAACATTGCTAGATATTAGAAACGTGCAGATTGACTCAAGTTCGGCTCTAGCAC